GGACAGAAAAGCCGGGTGGTGGTGGCACACGCCTTTAATCCCAGCACTCCGGGAGGCAGAGCCAGGCGGATCTCTGTGAGTTCGAGGCCAGCCTGGGCTACACAGTGAGTTCCAGGACAGGCTCCAAAGCTACACAGAGAAACCCTGTCTCGAAAAACAAAAACAAAGAAACAAAAAACAATGAAAGGAGAGAACCGGCTCCTCAAAATTTGTTCTCTAACCTGTGGTAACGTGCACGTGCAAACATGCACACAAATAAATAAATAAAACAAGTGTAATAAAAAAAAAGGACAGAAAAATTAATAAGGATACAGTACTGACGTGGTTTGAATGAGAATGGCCCCCATAAGCCTATATATTTGAATGCTTCATTACCAACTGGGGGAACTGTTTAGGAAGGATTAGGAGGTATGGTCTTTGTCTTAGTTAGGGTTTCTATTGCTGTGAAGAGACACCATGGCCACGGCAATTCTTACAAAGGAAAACATTTCACTGAGGCTGACTTACAGTTCAGAGGTTTAGTCCATTATTGTCACACATATTCAAGGGACTCTAGGCTAACACACGGATACCTGCTCACCCATGGTCATCGCTGCTAGGCCTAGATGTCTACCAAATGATCAACGGATAATGACGACATGCTACATAGACACTGGAATTTTATTCAGCTGTAATGAAAAATTAATTTCTGAAATTTGCTGGAAAATGCCCGGAACTGAAAAACACTATACTGAGTGAAGTAACCTGGGCTCAGAGTTCAATGTCCCATGTTCTCTCTCAGATGCGGCTCATGGCTTTGACTTTAGGTTTGTTTGTCTAACTTGGAATGCCTGTAGAGACCTGGAATTGACAAAAGGGCCATGGGGGGTGGGCGGGGAGAAGGGGGAGAGGCTTTAAGGAGGTGGGGACAGTAGGACACATGGGACCCGAAAATGGAGAGTGGCAAGCTTCCAACAGAGGTGGGTGGGAAGATGGAGGACAGGGAAAGGATGAACCAAAACTAACAACATCTGAAGAAAGGCGCATGGATCTTCTACTTGATAAGCTATTAAAAATATAATTTAAAAAAGATTTTTATTCATGAATGAGGTGGTTGATGATGTTGATCCCAGAAGCAGGGGAGTCAGCGGTGGTGACCTGGACCCTGAATGCCATAATACCAATGTATTAGTCAATGAGTACTTTGCTTACCGGTGCAATGATGGCATGATTGTTATGGGATAACCATTTCTGGTTTCTGACGGGATCAGAGGCCCACTCTCTAGGAGGGGTACTGTGGACCTGGCCAAAGCCTGGGGACCAGGAAGATCAGAGGCACTAGCAGAAAACCACTATTCTTGTTTTGCTAAGTGGATATGTTGTCAAACTGCCTCCTAAATCTTTACATTTATACCCGCAGACTAGCGCTGTCCTCGGCCTTGCTCAAAGAAGCTTCTCTGCAGTGAATTGTGGTTAATGCAAAGGTTCGTGGCTGGTAAGGCGCTGAGGACGAGTGATTGCTAAATGCTCAGCCTGAAAAGGGACACCCATATCCCCCTCTCCAATGCTCAGGGAACTTTTCAAAAGATGGAGTGTGAAGAATACAAGGGCCAGATGGTGGAGGCAGGAGGACTGCTGTACTGTGAAAGTGTGTCTCAGGAGCATGGCATGGCTGGGGACTGTACACTCACAGCAGCTGCAGTTACCTGCAGAGAGTCTGCACAAGACTCCTTAAACATTAAGTCACAGATGGAGGGGGGTCTCGTGAGGCCCTACCCTGCCTCGCCCAGGAAAATTAAGAGCTGACTGGGGGAGGAAGTCATTGTCGTGCAGGATGTAGCCATGGGCCGGCAAGTTACTTGTGGTCCAGGGAATAGCTTCACACCCATGCCCACGGGGTGGCCCTAGTTATATGTCACAGAACAAAACAAAAAACAAGACATGAAAGTGTGTGTTTGTGTGTGTGTGGGGGGGGTGATGGTGGAGGGGGAGAGGTGATGTCGAGGGAGAGAGAAGGCTAAGACGGCAGAGGGATGGATGTGTGAATTACACATGTGTATGAAATTGTCAAAGAATAAACAATTTTTAAAAGAGTTTGGTGTCTTCTTAAAAAGTTAAACATGTATGCAGTCCCGTCATTCCAGTTCTAGGAGTGGAAATAAAACACTTGCAAGCCTTATGCACAATGACCACATTACTTCTAGGCACACCAAAGGGGAAACCATCAGCTGTTTTATGGCTAGGCAAGCAGATAAACGCTCACACTCTCAGTGGGAAAATAAAAGAATGTGGCTAGGATGGAACATGGTTTGGTAGTTTCTTACAAAGTTAAACCCTCTGTATGATTCAGCAACCACTTTCCTATGTATTTACACAAGAAAAACAAAAAAATTAAGGTTCATATGAAAATCTGTACTTAAATACAGCCATTTTTATGCCCCAAACCAGAGACCACACAAGTGTACTTCAGTGGGTGAATGGATAACTAAAAAAATTACCAAGTTCTGATATGTACAACATGAATGAATCTCAAGGGCATTGTGGTAAGTGAAAGAAATCAGAATAAAAAACATACACGCTGCGATTACATTTCTGTGGTATTGTTGAAAATGCAGGAATACACAGAAAACGGGTGATCGGAACCTAACACCTCTGTAGAAGGAACAGCACCTGTGTCCATGTTCTGTCATCTGCCAGACCAACATGCTGTACTCATCAGTTTACTGTGGTTCCTAGGTTCCTAGCAGAGTAATTGGTACTGAGCCAGTACTCAACCAAGTCTTACTGTTTGCTCTACAGCCATGCTCAAAGGAGCCCTGGTTAAATCCAGTATGTCACAAAGCAAACCCCGCCCCCTGCAAAAAAAAAAAAAAGTCACGAAAGTAGGGTGGACAGTTGGGGAGAGGGGAAGGAGGATGAGAGAAGGGGAAGGCCTGAGCCATGCTCTTAGAGAGGATGGCTCATTTTCCCAATGGCACTTTCTTCTGGAAAGGATTTGTAATTCATGGAGCCAAGTGGATATTCTTACCTAACACCTTATTTCCCTCTTCCAGTCAAGTCCATGGAAATCACTGCCCAAATGATAGCAGGGTCTGCATTAAACCTTTCCTACTTTCTCCTGGAGGGAGAGCCAGATGTTAACATGAGCACAAGCAGACCTGAAAGCTGCCTACGGCACAGCTGTCTGCGGAGGTATAGGACAGAATTCGAATGCAGTTTGGAGTATCCACACATTCCCTTTTAGCAGTGTAGGTGAGAGCAGGAGATCAGAGGAGGATCAGGAAAAGTCTGGGAGTCGTTTCTCCATACATTTCTACATCCCAGCTGTATTTGTGGATATTTCAAGGAGCCTTAGAATTCTAAAAGTCAGCCTGGCTTTCCGTGTTATCGTGAGAATGTATGTCAACCCAGGAAACAGAACACACTTAACCGCTTGTTACCTGTACAACTTTCAAATATCTAAACATAGAGTATGCAGGTCTGGAGTATACTTTTACGCCATGTCTGCAAGTGTTAGGGATAGGTCCCATGCAGGGAATAAAGACGAGAAACGGGGGAGACCTTACTTCGTGCCTGTAGAGAGCATCTTATAAAATTACTTGCAAGCGGCTGATTGCAGAGCTTCAGTCAGAGGCTCTGAGCGTTCTCGCTCATTCTCTGAAGCTCCAGTCCCATCTTCTTTCACCATGGTGCTGCTTGCCAATGTCCACTGCAAAAAAGCATGGCTTTCTCTTTCTCTCTCTTCATCTCTCTATACTGGAATCTACTGAGATTTACACTTTGCCTGCCTTGATTTTTCTTTCCAACGCTCGATAAAATTGCCTTCCAGCTTCCTTCTGAGTCTGTTTCTAAACTCTTTTACTAACTCACAAAAGGGAGCCTTGATGTCCCTGGTACCACGTAGAGCATTAGGAAAGAGTGCCAGACAAGGGAGGGCTGTATACGGCGGCGTACAGTGTACAGTGGAGGTGGCCCAGGTCCCCGCGGGGATCAGTGAGGTGTGTAGCACAGCTGGCTAGAGAACGGACGCTCAGAGGTCCTGGCAGAGAGGGTTTCAGAGAAGACTGGCAACGCACACGTGACCCCATCCTTAGAAAAGCGCCTCTGGGGAATCCCCTAAGAAAGTAGGGTGACATGACTGAGGCTGTGTTTCGAGATGATAATCCCACCCTAGCCATCAGAGTCAGGGATAGGGTGGGGGCGGAATAAAGGCAGATGAGAGAAGCGATCAGAAAAAACAGGGACAGAGGAAGAGGCAGAAGGTAGGGAGCGACGGTGAGGAGGAGAAAATGACAAGTGAGGCTCCATCTTCAAGCGCCACCGAACCAGTGTCCAGCAGTGCAATGTCCCTACGATCTCCCTTGCCTGCACTTGGTTCACGTCGAGCCTTTTAGGATTTCCCCAGGGGGGAAAAATCATTTGGTTTTCAATAGTCCTAATAGAAAATCCTCCCACTTTATCCCTCTCTCCAGCTATAGGAAACACACTCCAAGACTGGCTTGGCTCTGTGGCCTGGCACAGGGAGATGATGAATCCCGCGGTCTCCAAAAGAAGAGTTGGGGGGCGGGGTCCTCGGCAGGAGAAGAACATTTAGCATTCCAGGTGGGGTTCGTGGGTACCTGAGCACACCGGGACGCCTGGGGCAGGGAGGGGGCTGACCCACTCGGTGCCCCCGACCTGGGAGCGAGGCGGGAAGGCCACTACAGCCGACCTTGTGGGACGTAGCTCTGCTCACACCCGACCTGCGGCGTGGCGTCGCTTTAGCAACTAGTACTTCCGGTCCCAACCGGAACCCTGACACGCCGTGCTTCCGAAGGTGTGTCCACCCCCGTGTGGGCGGAGAAACCCGGTCCCACCCACTCCGCGGCTACCCTGATCCCGACCGTCCCCTGGGACCCGCGGCGGCCCGGAGGACCCACGAGTGAGCCGGGCTCGACGCATGGCTGTGGGTGCGAGCCATGGACGCCTTCATCCGCTTCGCCAACCAGAGCCAGGGCCGGGACCGACTTTTCAGGTGAGCCAGGTGCCGTCGGCCTCCAGCCCTGTCCCGTCCGGACCCAGTATTTCCTCCCCTCGGAAGAAGGAGGTAACCGTCCGGGAAATCGAGGCACGAGGACGCGGCCAGCTCCCACTGGGAGTTGGGATCCGAGCCCCTCCCCGCCCCCCCCCCCATTCAGTGGGGCTGTGCGCGCCAGCCACCCCGGTGCCTCTGGATGTGACAGCAGTCTGTGAGCCCGCCTTGTCTCCTAACTTTCCCCCAAAGAGGGAAACTGAGTCCCCAACGCTCAACTTCTTTCCTAGAGATTTCTTTTCGAGAGAAACTTTGGATTTCTTTTGTACCCAAGGAAGCAGGACACCCGTGGCTTGGAGCGCCAGATGAAGTCCTCACGGAAAGACAGTTTTATCTTCTTGATCTTACATTTTGGCTCAGTCTGTGTCTTGGAGATACTGAGTGTTAAAAAGCCTTGTAAACTGTAAAAAGTTCAATGGAAAAAGTGTTTGAACGATACCTCCAAAGTACACGGTGTACTTTTGAAAAGCACCAGTGAGTGTTTGAAACTAATCCTCCACTTATTTTAAAAGAGAAATTGGCCTGAGGGTTGCTCAATGATCATTTAAAAGAAAAGGAAAGGAAAAAAATTATTTAACAATAATTCTTCTCTTCTAGGTGTTTGTGTTCAACTATTAATATTAAACTAAACATGTAAGTAAGAAAAATTCTAGTAATGAGACGTCAGGAGAGCAACTGTACAGACTTCATTGCAGTCTGTGGAGGAGATTCTTCAATACCCCAGTTTCACATATAGGGAAACTGAAGCAGGACGTTGAAAATAACTAATGTGCAGAGCCGAGAAACGCAAGTCCACACAGTTGACTCCAGCACCCACCTCTGAACTTAGTCATACTATCTTCTGTTTAACTTGATAGGTTTTCAAAATGCTTGAAAATACACATGCCCCCATTAAAAATCAGTCATATCATTCTAGTGTGCCCAGAATGTACCCTGCAATGTCTTTTAAGGAAATAGTAATTTAGGATATAGGTATTCAGCAAAATTTTATTTCCCAACCCTTTTAAGATCTGAATAACCATAAACAAAGTAGTATTCCTAAAATAGCGCCTTGTTTTCAGACCTACTCCCTGTTAGACCAAATCTGAGAGAGGAGGATTTTCTGATATGAGCAGTTTGAGCCCTCTGGCCGGAAAGTGGATTCTGTCTTCTGCTCCTCCTCATTTTACTTCATTATCCTGAACTAGTTCATCATTGTGGAAAATGTACCACTTTGGGAAGGATTTATTTATTTATTCTGAGAAAATCTTACTCTGTAGCCCAGACTGCCACCACAGTCCCCTTGTCTCAGCCTCCTGAGTGCTGGGATTGTAGGCATGAACCACCAGCCCTGTGCCCCTAGTTTTCCTGAGAAGAATATCTGCATCATACAGGGACTCCAATGCAGCTCTAAGACAGTAGGGACCAGCACCTCCTGGTTTTTGTTTGTTTGTTGTTGGTCTTTTGTCTTGTATGAGACAGAGTTGCACTATATAGCCCTGGCTGGCCTGGAATTCTCTATGTAGACCAGGCTGGCCCTAATTACCTTCCTCTGCCTCCTGAGTGCTGAGAATCAAGGTGTACACTACCACACCTGGCCTAGAACCTACTTTTACTAAGTAGGCTGCAGCTACATTTGGATGTTTGGGATTCTAATTTATTTATTGCCATGATATTGTCACCATTGCTGGTGCGATAATGATCACTATTGGATGTACAGTATTACTAAGCAGTTTATATAAAATACTAATTGGTTTGAAGGACAAGCACCGTACCTGCTAATTTGTATATCGGTGTGTATTTGGTCCTTTAGTCTTAAAAACTAAATATTGAGACTGAACTTTTCACCTGGGTTTTGAGTTTGTCTCCTGTCACTTAAATAGTAAGTTTAAACTATGTGGCAGAAAAGTCCATCTAGGAAATTGGAAAATCTTTCTGCACAGGGGCAAATAGCACACGTGGACATTTGTGGACCCGAGAGACATCCTGTGCGTTTCTTCCTTTGACTACAGCATCTTCCTATGGCAGCAGAGGGCTCCGGGGGAGCTATGCCCTGCCGCTGCAGAGTCCTCGCCTAACCTTTGTGTTGCATTTCCACTGCCTCTTCACCCTTTGGCCCTCCTGTGCAAGGACTGTTGCAGAATGTCGCTTTTGTAAGAGCTTCAACGTGAGAAACCTCCCCAGAAGTTCTGCCTCGCCGCCATGTTTCTCTTTGCTTTTACAGCCTATGCTTCTCCTTCCCTTCACGAATCAAATTTTGTTTGGTTTGTAAACCATTTCCCTCATTTTTTTCCATTACAGAGCCACTCAACACGCATGCATGTTGCTTAGATATCTGTTAGAGTCTAAAGCTGGCAAAGAGGCGGTGGTAATGAAACTCAAGAGTCTGGAGTCCAGTGTGAGCACTGGCCGTAAATGTAAGTACCCGTCTCTCGAGGGACAGTGGCTTCTGGTTTAAAGTCCTTCGCCTCAGTCCCTGGAATCTACAACATGCTTTCCGGGTCTTCATTTCTCCTCACCCAGTGAAGCTGACAGTAAAGGTCCAGTGTTTCACTGTGGACCATTCACAGATGTCTTCCTTTGGTCAAATTTGGTACCATACTAGTTCCTCCAGCATAATCCAGCCTGGGGGGCACACGGTGTGCTAGTTTACTTCAGTTCCAAGAACATCTTGGCAATGCCCCCCTCGAGCTTCAGTCTAGCAGAAGCCCTTAAGTTCTGTAGGACAGAATAGCCGTATCCTCGACCCTGTGCCCTTCCTCCTCTTCTGTTGAGGATTAGTGGAGGATCGGAATGAATACATTTTCTGAGACAGTTTGCCTGGTAATTTCATGTGAAAGGCAAAGCATGATGGTAGCAGTTTTCACTGATGGATACACTTTCATGTCAATCATCCTGGGGAATCCCATACTTCTCATAACAGTTGCGTGCCTGACTCCATTGTTTGACAAAAAGCAGATGTTTCAAAAGTAGATCAGCAGATATATTAGAGTGGGATGTAGTTCACCCCATATTGATGAGTTGTTTTGAGTACCTACTTCATAAAGGAGCTTTCCTCAGCTTTATGAGAGAGATAAAATAACATGTTATAAATAATATTTAGTGCCCTATATGATGCCTGTAGTAGAGGAAAAAAGTATTTTGAAGGAGGTAGGATTTAAGCTGTGTCTGGAGAGACACAGTATTCTGAAAGGGAGGTTTCCTCTAGTAGAGGCTCAAGACTTTTAGATTCAAACCGTTGTCCTGGAGGATCAGTGTCAAACCAAAAAACTGGTTTGGCAGAGAGAGAAGACTTAAATAGTCAACAAGAGGGCTGGGGAAGGTTGGGTAAGATTTCTGGATGTCTTTGAAGGCCAAGATTAGAAATTCTGTCATAAATTCTCTAGAATGTCAATTGCTAAAGTGTCCTTTAGGGTTTCACTGGTCTTGAAAGTCCAGAAGGTACTTATCCAGTGTCATTCAGCCAACTGGCCCAAGAGCTGGAATGAGAACTTGAAACTCCAGTTTTGAAGCAGTCATTTCATATACTGCTCTGTATTAGATTGTGGTAAAATAATGTCAAGTGCTCTTCTGAGATTGTAAGTGTTGGGAGAGTAGCTGCTTCTGGGCAGTTACTAAGTCAAATAACCCATCTCTGGGTGCCCGGTAAATACCTATGCATGGATGATCCCAGGTGACTAATTGCGTGCTTATGTAAGGGTACGCATCACAGTGGTTGATGAATTCGTCTAGAAGCTCCATGTGACTGCTGATCACCACAGCCCCTCAGCTACCATTTCTCGGTGTTCTTCTCCCATAGTTAGCCAGAGGAAGATTGACTAGAATGATAATCAAATGATAATGCTGCTTTTCCAAAGGCAGCCTTTGGATGGTGTCTTAGTCACTGTTCTATTGCTGTGAAGAGACACCATGACCCAGACCCAGCCAGCTCTCATAAAGGAAGCAATGTAATTGGGGGCTTGCTTACAGTTTCAGAGACTTAGTCCATTATCATTGTGGCTGGGAGCATGGCGGCAGGCAAGTGTAGTCCTGGAGAAGTAGCTAAGAGCTACATCTTGATCCATAGGCCAAGAGAGAGAGGGGGCGGGAAGAGAGAGGACGGTGGTGCGGGGGGGGGGGGGGGGGGGGGGGGGGGGGGGGGGGGGGGGGGGGGGGGACACGACACGACTGAGAGACTATGAGACTGGGCCTGGGCCTGGGATGGGCTTTTGAAACCTCAACGCCCGCCCGTCTCTAGTGACGCACTTCTTCCAACAAGGCCACACCTCCTGATCCTTCTAATCCTACCAAAGAGTTATCTCCCTGGTGACTAAGCATTCAACTATGAACCTGTGGGGGTGGGGTGGCGGCTGGCATTCTTTAAACTACCACAAATGGGAAATCAAATATATAAGAATGCTGAACCTGGAGCTCGTGTTAAGTACTCTTGCGTCTGAAGTGTAGAGGTTAACACTCAAACATAGTAACACACACCCATGATTAACCTTGTCTGGAGTATACTGGAAATGAGCGTTAAGGCTTGCCTTGGAATGGGGATGATAAATTGTGAAGGTCGCTGTCTTTTGGGCTTTGCAGGATCACTGTAAGGTTCCTTCTTTCGTCAGCTAAGACTGTGAGCCTCAACTGACATCAGCTGCTAAGTTCTGAAGTCTTGTCACAGGGCTTCTGCCTCCCGTTGGGTACTAACCAAGTGCTGATTCTGTGGGTTCTTTTTACAGGGTTCAGACTAGGCAACGTGGTCCACGCCATCCAAGCAACTGAACAGAGCATCCGAGTCACAGACCTCGTGCCCCGCTTCTGCCTTACGCTAGCCAATCTGAACCGTGTGGTTTATTACGTCTGTGACACTGTCCTCTGGGTGAAGAGTGTGGGTCTTACCTCTGGAGTCAACAGAGAGAAATGGCAAATGTGGGCGGCCCGCCACTACTACTACTTCCTCCTGCTGAGCCTGGTCCGGGATCTGTATGAGATCTTGCTGCAGATGGAACGGGTTGCCCGGGACAGGGCCAAGAGGGCGAAATCATCCTGGGACCCTCCTGGGCACAGTGTGGTCAACGAAGAAACCGAATGGCCCCAGTCCTTTCTCCTGCTCCTGTTCCGATCTCTGAAGCGGCACCCTCCCTTGCTCCTAGACACGGTGAAGAACTTCTGTGACATCCTCATCCCTTTGAACCAGCTCGGGATCTACAAGTCCAACCTTGGCATCGTAGGACTTGGAGGTCTCGTGTCCTCTGTGGCCGGCCTCATCACTGTAGTGTATCCTCAGCTGAAACTGAAGACCCGCTAGTGTTTGGAATGAGCATCGGGTTTTGTCACAGGGTCTTACTAGGCTTAAGTTTTTAATCATGTGAGTATCTTATCAACTTGTGATGTGAGAAGTGGGACCAATAATGGACCATGCACACTGATAATTTTTTTTTTTTTTTTGTTTTTCGAGACAGGGTTTCTCTGTGTAGTTTTGGTGCCTGTCCTAGATCTCGCTCTGTAGACCAGGCTGGCCTCAAACTCACAGAGATCCGCCTGGCTCTGCCTCCCCAGTGCTGGGATTAAAGGTGTGCTCCACCATTGCCCGGCTGATACATTTTTTTAAATGCTGCAGTGACTTCTGAATTTCTGATTATATTCCCTTCAGCTAACATTACTGGGTATTTTTTTGTTGTTGTTGTTGTTTTCGAGACAGGGTTTCTCTGTGTAGCTTTGCGCCTTTCCTGGAACTCACTTGGTAGCCCAGGCTGGCCTCGAACTCACAGAGATCCGCCTGGCTCTGCCTCCCGAGTGCTGGGATTAAAGGCGTGCGCCACCACCGCCCGGCTACTGGGTATTTTTTTATAGCCATAGTAAGAGCTTAGTGTTTGCTGAGGGATAAAAATGGAAAGGAAAGAAATCATAAAAGACCCAGGGAAACTAGAATTGTGGATTGGGTTGTGTGTGGGGGTCCTTGATTTCAGCCAGTCCATCCGAGCTGGAGCACAGCGTTCCTGGCTCTGGTTAAGGCCTCTCTTCTCTCCCGTCGGTTCTTATGCTCCATCCCCACAATGGTGGGCTGGAGGGGAGCTGGGCTGAGAGCCTCCTCACGTGTTGGCCCTGGCTGTTGCTGCAGCGGGTCCTTACTGTGTCCAGGGGTTACTCAGAAAGCATCAGCACATTACACTCTGTGGTGTAAGTTGTGTCTGGGTGGAAGCCTCTGGTGATATCATGAGTATGCAAGGGTGAAAGCGGGTGAGAGGTCACTGTGGTGCCTGTCACTCAGTCCACGACAGATAAGGAAATTGACACTAACAAAGCTGAGGTCAGGGACAGGCTGAGTCTTTCCAAGATGACTCCTCTGTACCATCTCATGACCTTTGCCTTTTTGCCCCCTAACACTCTCCCACACCAGGCCCGGAACTTTAATCGATGGTTCCTGTTCTAGTCTGTGAAGATCAAAGCAATCTAGACTTAGCCAGGTTGATTTTATTTAAAGCTACGTAACAGTTTGGGCAATAATTTGCATCAAAACAAGAGAATTAAAGTGTTTCTGTCTATGAATGTAAGAATGTCAGTTTTCTGTGATAAATCAGATTTACTCAGGGCAGTTGGGAGGGATGGGAAAGAGCAGCAGGAACAGTGAAGAGGACATGGGGCCACCGAGTCAGTGTCATTTGCCTGTGCTTGCTCTTCCCATTTCAGTGTTCCTGTTGGAGCTTGGTGAGTCTGAGGCATGTGGAGTCGGGGGAGGGGCCAGTCCGCACCTATAAAGCCATATATATCATTTACCTGGAAATGAGAACTATGCACTGATTAACTGCTTCCCATAAATGTGATGGAAATTCTTGAAAAGGACTCCGGTCCTTGGCACTCTATTTGTAAAGTGATATGTGATTTGAGAAAACTTTGGGGGATTCTGAGAGAAACTAAAGTGACTAAAACCAGACAAATATGCATAAATAACTATTTGTACGGTAACATGTCAGTTATGTCTAATAAATGTCTAAACAAAATCGACTCTTGCATCTGTGCATGTGTGTGGGATTGGAGAGTTTAGAGTAAGGCAGTGAGCAGATGATCCTGTCTGAGGAGGCTCAGAGCTGCCCAGGTGCAGGCTGGGAGGAAGGCACAGGGACTGTGTCAGGACTCATGGTTGAAAGCTTCCCTTACAGATCTGTACAAACCACCCCTGCCAAGGTGCTCTCCAGTGCCTGGCCATGGCTGGCTGGCTTCTTCCTGGAGAAGCCTGCCTTGAGCTCACGGCAGTGTTTTGCAGATGTCCATTTTGGTCCTTGGGTCTTAGACATTAGAGAGGGTGATGGGAGGGTTGAAAACGGCCATCTTGTAGAGTCTGTAAACGCAGTGGGGCCCTGCTACCTCATCCTTGTATCTTTCTCCTTCTCAACTAACCCTCTCCTCCTGGCTCCACGTTCATGAGGGATTTCAAAAACTACAAAGTCCTGAGGAGCTGCACAGACCAGCACATTCACAGCCGAAAGTTGCTGCTGAGGGCTGACTCAGGAGGTGTCTGCTGTCCTGTTTGGTTTGGGGACCCACCTGTGCGCAGAATGGCCACGATCTCTGCTCTCCTGTCGTGGAGGGAAGGGAGCAGCATGAGCTAGCTCGCCCCGCCTCATCGCCCGGTACTGTTGGAGAACTGCCTCTTCCCCCTGCCCCCTTAGGATCTGCCTGGCTCTTTCACCTCTCACCCACATTCTAGAATCCCAGTGCAAGCAGCCAAAGGACCAGCTTTGTCAGCAGAGCTTTTGGGCACGGAGCCCTATAGCCTCTCTGGCCCAAAGCCACCGCCTGAGAAGGCAGACTGCCCTTTCGCCTGGGCTGCGTCCAGATGTGAGCCTTCCGGGTCATTTGTCCTGGACCTTGAAATGAGAGCAGAGGTCACTTTACACACTTCCCTCCTTCTTCACAGCTGTCTTACGCTAAAAAGCTCAGACCGAGATTAATAAGTATCAAATGCTTCACTTACTTATTACCTCTTTTGGAAGCTCCTTGCTCCACGCTCCTCCCTTTCCTGGCATCTTGTTCCCTGTTTTATTATACTGAGGATAAAATTTACCCCCAGGGATCAATCTGTATCTGTTTCTCACATCCTTATTTTTTTATTACACTTATGTAGCGTGTGTGTGTGTGTGTGTGTGTGTGTGTGTGTGTGTGTGTGTGTGTAGGTCAGAGGACATCTTGCCAGAGTCAATTCTCTCCCTCTGCCGTGTGGGTCCCAGGGATTGAACTCAGGTGGTCAGGCTTGGTGGCAAGCACCTTGACCTGGCGGGCCATTTTGCTGAACCTACCACCCATGCCTTTCTATTCTGTTATCCACACTAACAACTTAGCAGAGTCAACAACATGCAGATCTGCTAACTAGGAGCTAATAGTTAGTGCTGCCCTCTCATTCATTTTCATTACGAGGCCCCTTCTTCCTGTTCTGGTGGTGTCTTAGGCTAGGTAAAGTTTCACACCCATCCCCACCCTTTTCCTTTCCTCCATGCTGAAGATCAAATCCAGGGCCTTCAAAGCTAGGCAAGCACTCTGCCTTCAGCCCTGCCCTCAGCCCCTAGCGTTTTGAGACATGATTTTGCTATGTAGCTCGGGTTGCCCATCAATCCTGCCTCGGCATCCTGAGTGCTGGGACTACTGGTCCATGCTACCACAACCAGCTTCAACATATTTTCTTTAACTTTCGAGGTGTACAGAGGTTAAAACCATTCTCCTAGAGCCCAGATTACTAAGGACTCTGTCTTGTCTTCTTTGCGGGTGGGTAATTTCTCTTGATAGTCATAGACTAATACAGTAAGCTGAAGCCCATCCCTGTGTGGGTTTGAATCATGCTGTTCAATAGTCATCCTTGCTAGCAAACGAAGGATGGGAGACAGTCTCTGGGAGTACTGTTCCATAGAAACTTTGGGGGAAAGGAATCAAAGATGTCAGAATTACATGGAACTTTGGTCTTAGGAGTTAAATGACATAAATATAGTATCTTCTTCATGGAAAGCAATTTTTGTCAATTGAAAGCCAGGAATATTCTGGAGCTATTGTCTCAGGGGTCTGGCACAGGACTCCTTCAGCTCTGTGAGCCGCCTCGTCATTGGCTAAGCATCCCCCATAGGAGCTAGGATGAGTCCAGGGGACATCCTGGGTCAGACAGCTATGGTAAAGGGCCGGCCCAGCTTTCTCTGCCTCTTTGCCCTCCTCCAGCTGGGAGGTCTGTGAGGCATTGCCCAAGATTCCCTGGAGTGGCTGGAGCTGCTTCTGTGGAGGAGACGTTCTGCAGCTGGGTTTTCTGAGACTGAGGTGGCTGTCAGCTGCAGTGAGTGTGGGGTCCTCGGGTGTCTCGGCCTTACCTGGCTGCTTTCTGAGTGTTAAAAGGGAAGGAGCTGAGAGAAAGGGCAGATGGGGACATTACCAAGGGACACGGAGCTCTGCAGGGAGACCACTGAGGAAAAGACACAGGTGGAAAGACCAGCACACAGAGTGGCCATTGGCTTATCCAGAAGACAGTTCTTTGGGAGAAGGCTTACCCAGCTGGCAATAGAGGGAAATTGTAATTAACTAGAATTTTGTCATGAAGAAAAAAATTAAACTCTACCCAACACTCATTCTTTCATCTCTCTTGGACTCTGGTTTAAGAGCCCCAGACATCATCCTAAATCTTTTCTCTCATTAGTTCATTATCTTTATCTAATTACCTACATTTTCTTTTATCTTGAGCCCTTAAAAAAACAAACAAACATCAATTTTGAGCGGACTATGGAGCTCATTTTGAGCAGACTAGGAGACTCATTGTGTTGGGACTCCAAGGAGTGGCCTCTTGTATGTGACATTCAACCTCCACCCTAGGACAGCTGAGCTCCCAGGTGGCTGGTGGGGTGGCTGTGAGAGGTAGGGGAGCCACTCGGTGAATTGCAAGTCTGTGGGCTTCTGATGGACCTGGGACTCTGCTTTGCAGCCTGAAGAGGAAGGATGGCCATGAACAAGGGCCCAACCCTGCTGGACGGAGACCTCCCTGTAAGTAACCTGGGCTCAGTTGAGATGGGGAATGGTAACCGAGGGAGGAAGAGTGAGCAGAGAGCGAGAGCCAGGGGACCTCAGACGTGTCGACCTTATGTTCTGAATCCACTGACTCCGTCTCATTATCGCTGCCCTTGCCACTGTTAACAGGGGTGTTTGGGGGAGCTGGGAGAAAGAGATGATGCCTATGATGGTCTAAGAGCCTTGGAGAAATGGGTAGGAATGCTAGCTGGAGGCTAAGGAGAGACAGGGAAAGAAATTGCCATGTCCTAAACCCTGAGACAAAAGTCCACCACCCAGAAGAACGTGCATGCCATACGGAGCCCATGTATTCTGTGGCTTTAGCCTGTGACCAGAACCTGCAATGCGTTGCCTATGCTGCCATGCCTGGGAATAAACTGGACAGTCAGTATGTCCAGCATTTATTTCTGGCTGGTTTTCACCAGGATTTTAAGTAATTATGATATTTTTATATATCCTTGATATGTTTTGCCAAGACCTCTCAGATTTGGGTACAGTTCAGACAGTGAAATTCAGAGCTATGACCCTGTAGGAAACTAAACTCATCCCAAATTAGGCTTTAAGGAACCTCTGTACTAGGGATAACTGCCTTGTTTTGTACTAAATCGTAAGAGGGGTGTAAATGGGTCACAAGAAACGTTATGTCTTCTTTTTTTTTTTTTTTTTTTTTTTTTTTCCAGAGCTGAGGACCGAACCCAGGGCCTTGCGCTTGCTAGGCAAGCGCTCTACCACTGAGCTAAATCCCCAACCCCAACGTTATGTCTTCTTATTTATTTATTTATTTGGTTTTTCGAGACAGGGTTTCTCTGTGTAGCTTTGCACCTTTCCTGGAGCTCACTTGGTAGCCCAGGCTGGCCTCGAACTCACAGAGATCCGCCTGGCTCTGCCTCCTGAGTGCTGGGATTAAAGGCGTGCACCACCAACACCCAGCTACGTTACATCTTCTTAACGGTTGGTGGTTTCTTCCATTCCCAGCCCGTTGCCCCTTTGGCTTTGTCCAGAATAACCCTTGAAAGCAATGTCCAAAATGTGAAAGAGAATGTTTCATCATGTAGTCCAAATTCTTTTCTCCTTCTGATATCTGACTCACCTGTAGGGTGAAAAGCTAAAATAGTGTGGCTGTTTTGTACCGGGGCCCTGCTGGGGGTCTCCTTGTACTGGGTCTCCTTGGTGGCTAACTCGACTTCCTGCAAGCAGAGTATGTCACAGGCTGCATCCACAGTCACACAGAGCTGGAGAAGATGGGGCAACCCTGAAGAGCTGGTTCACACTTTTTGTATGGTCAATTCTTAACATTCATAAGACTAGGCAAAAGAATACACGGTCCCAGGTATTTTTGACTAATCCCAAAGGCCAAGAATCCACGGTCAATCTGCCTCATCCTTGGCCAATCATTAATTTATTTTATCTTAATTTATTTGGAAGCAAATTCCATATATTCCATTTCAAACCTGACTTGGAAACAGTCCAATATGGTAACGCATGCTTATAAACTCAGGACTTGGGAAGCAGAGGCAGGAGACTCAGGTGTTGCAGGCCAGCCTTGGTTCATAGTGAACTTAAGGCCAGTCTGGACTAGATGAGACCCTATCTTTCGTTTTGTTTTTGTTTTCTGAGACAAGGGTTCTCTGTGTAGCAGTCCTGGTTGTCCTAGAATTCACTTTGTAGACCAGGCCAGCCTGGAACTCACAAAGATCTGCCTGCCTCCACCTGCCAAATGCTGGGATTAAAGATATGTGCCACCACACCCATCGAGACCCTATCTCAAAAACACACAAAATCGAATCAAACCTGACTGAAGTCCTGGCCGTACTACTCACTGTCTGTTCGATCTTGGGTAAATCCTGTCTTATCTCTGAATTTCAAATACTTCAAACTGCAAACTACTGTTAGGATTGAAATCAAGTCGCCCCAGCTGGTGTCCTGGAGCATAATGGCCTCTAGTAAATGTTGCTTCCTACTACATGACCAGAATCATTCTTTCACTCAAAGATTGGGCTTTTTCTATTCTCTAAAGTTTAATTATGTAACTGCTGACAAAGCAGAACGCTTTGGTCAGAGTATGACCTCCCAATAAGAAGAGATGACCGCAGTACACCCCAAAGGCCCAGACTCGCTGGAGTCCCAACTTAAAAATGGAGTGTTGTGTTTTCAGAAAGGCTATGCCAAATCCCCAAATGTCAGGAGGAAAGGGCCACAAGCCCATTGTGTGACCCATCCATAAACTAAGATAGGAAATGCATTTATTTCCTATGGAGAAGGAACCTTTGCAGAGAGTCACCCCTAACTTGAAGTATGGGATGAGGTGACACAAAAGGTGAAGCAGATTTGTTCAGGGTCGTTCCAGTAGGGTGGAGACAGCATGTGGAGGCAGGCTTCAGCTCGGCAAAGTTATCCAACAAGGGGACCAGCCACTCTGTGAAGGCATCAAGCCCACCCAAGGAGATATCCAAATACAAGTCTAGTGAGACTTTCTGGAAAGGATTCTTGCTGAGGAGACCCAGGAAGCCTCGATCCTGCTATTCTGTGTAGTTAAGAAGAGCCCATGGGCGGTGGTGGTACACACCTTTAATCCCAGCACTGGAGAGGCAGAGGCAGGCAGATCTCTCTAAGTTCGAGACCAGCCTGGTCTACAGAGCGAGATCCAGGACAGCCAGGGCTACACAGTGAAATCCTGTCCCTGCCCTCCCCCAAAAAGTTTTAAAAAAGAAGAGCTTACACATTCTACAAGGCTCAGTCCCATGTATGGCTCATTTCTCCAGGATCAGGCTTTTAGACAGGCACTGGGGAAATAGAGGACATTCTACTGGGAGAAAGGAGGCATACACACATCATCATGGCAGGGTGACAGATGTAGAGACAACCCAAGGACAGACACAGCCATGATGGAGGAGAGTCAAAAGTTGGTCATGGTGACACATGTTTATAATCCCAGCACTTGGGAGGAGGAGTCAGTAGGACTGACCTGAACAGTAGTTCAAGGTCATCCTTAGCTAAGTAGTGAGTTCAAGGCCAGATAGGGCTACTTGAGACCCTGTCTCACAGAGGAGGTGATAATGAGAGAATAATATTCTACCAAGCAGAAAGGGATGTGGGAGGGAAGGCGAGCCTATTTGGCAGTAGTTCAGCATTTGTAGACATGGGTTCAGCATCCCAGAAAGACCATGAAAATGTTTAGATGAAGCCACCAAGTTGAAGGTGGACCAAAACCCCCAACAGGTACATTCACTTGCTCTGGGCAGTCAGTCTAAGAGGAGTGACCTGGGAGGGAGATGAGATTTGGCTTGGTCCCCAGAGAACACAGATCACCTCAGGGCTTCTCCAGAGTCTAGGTAGTGACCAGGAAGGCATGGCAGGCGGGCTCTCCTTTTCCATGACTGGACCATTTAGAGACACCTTGTTTCCTTTAGACTCGGGCTGGCCTCACAAACGGCATGCATGACCCTAGCTAGGGTCAGCTTGCAGGGAGGTTGAGTGGGGGTGAGAGGATCTAACTCTCTCTTTGCTGACAGGAGCAGGAGAATGTGCTCCACAGAGTCCTGCAACTGCCTGTGGTGAGCGGCACCTGTGAGTGCTTCCAGAAGACCTACAACAGCACCAAAGAGGCCCACCCCCTGGTGGCCTCTGTGTGCAATGCCTACGAGAAAGGTGTACAGGGTGCCAGCAATCTGGCTGCCTGGAGCATGGAGCCCGTGGTCCGCCGGCTGTCCACCCAGTGTGAGTTCTCACAGAACTTGGCAGCAGCCTGCCTGTCCACTGATACTCATTGCGTGTCTGCCTGTCTGCTTGTCCGTCTGTCTGATCATCTCACAGCTTGTTTGTCCACCTCCCTGACCACCTCCCTTACTTGCCTATATCCAACTTCCTGATCTTCTCATCTGCAGATATAGAGGCATAGACGCAAATCTCTTTGGGTCTATACATGCCTCAGCTGTAGCCCAGCCTAGGGCATCCTCGGCTAACAATGACAGCCAAAGAATCTTCAGGGGGAAGGATGGGCAGATCCATGTGAGCAGTGGTGAGTGTGGAGCCAATGGCAGGACCTCTAGACTCCAAAGAAGGAGCAGAGTCTCAGTGAAAGCCGGCCTAGCGGGGTAAAGGGGCACCAAGGAAAGAGAAAGCCCCTTCACCCCCTGCTGCTGATACCGGCTCTGACAGGTGGGGCAGTAGAGAACTCCCAGGCAGGGTAGAAACAAGGGTCATTCTGTCTCCATTACCCTGCCTCCAACAGAAGATACGGTCTCCAAGAACCAGCTCTTCACAGGGTTGAGGGAGATCTCAGCAGCACCGAGAAGTCTAGCAGCTTCTGTCATCCTGATAGATTTTGGGGATGTGAGAGCTCTACCCAGCAACCTGGCAAGGAAGACTTGAAGGCTCCATTTCAAGTCCGTGGTCGTATAGATGGCCCTGGTTAAATTCAGGGGGTCACAAAACAAAACGAAAGGACAGGAACGTGAGAAACGGACTTGGGGGCTGGCCAGGATGGGAGACAGATAAGAGAAGATGCATGTGGGGACGTGAGTGAGAAAAATGCATTATATATGCGTATAAAGTTGTCCAAGAAAACCTCATTCAATTAATGACAATATTAATAAAATTACTACAGGCCCTAGGCTAGCCCTCATGAATGCCCTCATTCTGTCCAATCAGAAGACAGCCAAAGTCATCTGAGATCTTTGCTGTTTTGTTTTGTTTTTTGTTTGTTTGTTGTTGTTTTTCGAGATAGGGTTTTTCTGTAACTTTGGAGCCTGTCCTGGAACTCACTTTGTAGACCAGGTTGGTCTCAAACTCACAGAGATCCGCCTGCCTCTGCCTCCCGAGTGCTGGGATTAAAGGCATGCACCACCACCGCCCGGCTTCTTTGCTGTTTTAAAAAAATATGAAAGAGCATCTAGAAATATCCTTTAAACCTGTGCCTTCCATGGCCTTGACCACAGAGCCTGCATCCTCAGCAGACCACGGGCAGTCTCCCCTTGGAAACAGCTGCATCCTCCGGGGCTTGTCCCACTCCTCAAGGGCAACTTCTTTCTCTTCCCTGTGGCTCCTCTCAGCTGTAGCCATCTTGACAGCTGAGGGTTAAAACTGGTTCTAGGGACAATCTGGAGCTGCTCTGGCTGTGACTGTGAATCAGTCATCTCCAGGACTAAAGCCAGCCTAGGCCCGGTCCCCCGGAGGCCTATGCCAAGACCCTGGTGCCACCTGCCTCACTCCCACATGGGTTCTCTCACTTCCTCACACCCTTCCAGAACACTGAACAGGGAGGGAGGTTGGGCGGGGAGAGAACAGCATTTGGCGGTGGTTCATCGAGGCTGCCATCACTTTACACCGAGGCTGACGGTTCTGGCTCCTGACAGGAGGGGGCAGCAGAGAGCTACTGCCCAGGGCCCTAGAGGTAAAGAATAGGGTCCATGTGAGCCCAACCTGGTGTTCAGACAGATGGGACTTGCTAAAGCCACGTGCTGAGCAGGCGCAAGACTTTGGGTGCAGGTCTTACAGATTCCAAAATGACCCTGCCCTCAAGGAGTCACAAGTACATGGGAGCTAAATATAGCAGAGTCTCTGGTCTTGAACAGCAGGGCTGGGATCTGGGGGATCTGGGGGCCCCAATGTACCTCCTTTGAGATGGAGGCCACTATTAATTCCTCGGGAGGGGGTAGGGAATCAGCCCAACACAGCCCTTCCCTTTCAGTCACAGCTGCCAATGAGTTGGCCTGCAGAGGCCTGGACCACCTGGAGGAAAAGATTCCGGCCCTTCAATACCCTCCAGAAAAGGTGAGTCCTCCCTCTCCTCTAGTGCTCCCTACACTCTGTTATTGACCTCCTCTCTGAACAGCCGATGCCCTGGCTGTGTGACTTTGTGTGTTCATGGGGTGAGTGGAGACCCCTCTTCCTCTTTCTGTGGGGCCAGGTAGAGTCGGGGTGTCTGGGACAGCGAGTACATGCCTCAGATAAGCTCAGACAGACACTTTCGTGGTCCTCAAGGGGAAGGAAGGGCTAACCCCAACATGGCCCCTCCATAACTGCACAGCCTTCTGATACTGTGGCCATTGGGGTCTGGGACTTTGTGGGTTTGCACAGGACTGTGGTGACAACAGCTACCTTCGATCTTGGGTCTCACTCACTGGGATCTCAGGATTACATACATGGCCTTGAGATCCAACCCTTTAGGGACCATGAGACTAAACGAGTCACTTTTCCCTGGCCAAGCCTTTAACTACTCTATCCAATGCTGGCTTCACTAAGGCCTATGACCTCCTCTATTTTACTGACCAACCACCAGTCTGTCCTACCAATCTCCCCTGAGCCCTGGGCCCTGGGCCCTGCCCTTGCCAACAGCCGCAGCATGGAGCCCTCTCGGGTCATCCTTGGTGATGGGACTCGCTACCCTCACTGTGCAGATGAGTAAACACAGCCTGAGGTGGAGACCACCAGGGGGCAGGTCGGCTGGTCACCTGTCTAGTGCTCCAGACCAAGTCAACTTTGTCACAGAGGAGCTCTCAGGGTCTCAGGAGGAAGAAGGCAAATTACTCCAGCATAAAATCTGTAGGAGGGTCAGTCATACCTATCAATCAGTGTGAACAGTGTTTCGAGGGACAGCTAGAGGATGGAGGATAGGGCTCTGGAAGAGGGAGTGCCTTATGTGAAGGAGGGTATCAGGACTGGTGTCACCAGGGAGGCTTTGGGGCTATCCTCACAGGATAGATCTTCACACAGTGTGGAGAAGCCAGGAGACTGAGGTGGCCTTATTCTTTCCCACATATTCACATAGTCTTGCCGGTCCCCGGTCTTTTTTTTTTTTTTTTTAATTTTTAGACAGGATAATATCATGCTGTAGTCCAGGCTGGTCTGGAACTCACTATGTAGCCAAAGAGAGCACCAAACCCATGGTGATCCTTCCGTCTCAGCAGCCAGCCCTTGTATTACAAGTGTGTGCTCCCATGCCCGGTGTGCCTGGGTCTTTAAATGGTGCCCTCCAGAGAGCTGGGCTCAGGACCTGTGAGGAAATTCACATAGTTGACTGTCTCCCCACACTCCTCAGATTGCCTCTGAACTGAAAGGCACCATCTCTACCCGCCTTCGGAGCGCCAGGAACAGCATCAGTGTGCCCATCGCAAGTACTTCTGACAAGGTCCTGGCCAGCTGCGAGCTTGCCTTGGGGATGGCTAAAGAGACAGCAGAATATGCTGCCAACACCCGAGTTGGCCGCCTGGCCTCTGGAGGGGCTGATCTGGCTCTGGGCAGCATTGAGAAGGTGGTAGAGTTCCTCCTGCCACCATCCAAGGAGGAGTCAGGTAACGGCCCTTCAGACTGGCTGGCTACCCTGGCCGCTCAGCTCCCGAGGATCAATGAGAGACTACAAGCCTTATTGGCCTTGCTCTGGCATAGGGAATGCCCCTCAGAAGCTCCAGAGGATCTCAGTCCTTAGTCCCTCCACCCCAGATTTAAGAGGGAGAGGGATCTGGCATTGGCTATCACCAGAGGGGTCGTGGCAGAAGGAAGGCAATTGTTTTCCAGCCCAAGGCACAACCCTGAGTCCATTTTCTATTTCAATTACTCTTTCAAAATTGTATGTGTCTGAGTGTTTTGACTGCATGTGTGCGTGTACATCATGTGTGTGAACACTGCCTGTGAGAGCCAGAGGAGGACTTTAGATCCCCCGGAACTGGAGGTGCAGATGGCCGTGAGCTACCATATGGATGCTGGGAATTGAATGCAAGTTCTCTAGAGTGGCAAGTGCTATTAACCGCTGAGCCGTCTCCCAGGCCCCTCAGGCCCCTTTTGATCTCTTTTCTTATATATCTTTTATCTAGCCCCTGGTTCTGGACGGCAGCGGGCCCAGAAGGCTCCCAAGGTCAAACCGAGCCTCGCGAGGAGGGTCAGCAACCTGGCCAACACTCTTTCTCGACACACCATGCAGACCACTGCTTGGGCCCTGAAGCAGGGCCACTCTCTGGCCATGTGGATCCCGGGTGTGGCACCCTTGGTGAGTCTGCTCAGAGCTCTGCCTGGCCCCGCTCTGTGGGTTTCCTAGTCCCTCTGTCTTGAGAACATCCTTCAAACTGGGTTGGGACTTTAGACATAAAGACAGGGGTCTTAAGAGGGTGGTGGACTAATTGCCCAGGCCATAGGAGAAGACAAAGGACAGAACACAAGCTGAGGTGTGGTCCTGCCCCACCACCCTCTTCTGTCTCCCCCACCCTCCCTCGGAGTCTCCCTGACTCCCAGCCTTCATGACCCCCAGTGGACCTCTTATGGGGGACTCCCCACCCCCATTTGCTATTAAAACAGTAGAAGTGTCCCCCATAAAGAAATAAACAAAACAAAAAAAAAATCCTGTCCAGTGGACAGGAGTCCCATTAGCCCCCGCCCCTGACTGGGCAGTTTTCCAGCCTTCCCTTCTAGGACTCTGGACTTTCTCATTATACCCAGGCCAAGCTGCTTCTCTGTTCACCTCAATACAGTCAGGCTGGGGTTTGTAGAATAGGAACTTAGTGGGAGACTAAGAGGGAATGGAAGAAAGAAAGAGAGAGAGAAAGAAAGAAAAGGAGGAGGAGGAAGAGGAGGAAGAGGAAGAGGAGGAGGAGAGTTAAAGTCAGGCATGTAAGTGCATACTAATAATCTCCACTTAGGAGGTAGAGGCAGGAGGATTTCTTCAAGTTTGAGACCAGCCTTGTCTATAGAGTGAGTTCCAGACTATCCAGAGCTGTATGGTGAGACCCCATTTCAAAAGACAACAGCAAAAGACTCACAGACAAAAACAAACAAACAAACAAAAAAACAACAACCAGAAAACCAGAGACAAATGAAACAATTAGAACATGGAGGTGGGGGCTGGGCTGGGCTGTAGCTCGGTGGTGGAGCACTTGCCTAGCTTACTTGAGGTCACATACCCACAGAGCTATAAGAAGAGAAAGCCCAGGAGTCAGCAGGAAGTGATTGCTTTTCAGTCATATGAAAGGTCCTTTTATTTTATTTTATTTTATTTTTGAGACAGGGTTTCTCTGTGTAGTTTTGGAGCCTGCCCTGGATCTCACTCTGTAGACCAGGCTGGCCTCGAACTCACAGAGATCTGCCTGGCGCTGCCTCCCGAGTGCTGGGATTAAAGTCGTGCGCCACCACCGCCCAGCTATTTTTTAAACTTTAATTGACTAATTTTTTTTTTTGAGATAGGGTTTCATTCTGTAGCCCATGTTAGCCCTGAATTTGTGGCAGTTCTCCTGCCTCAACCTTACAAGTATTAGGTTGCAAGTGTTTCCAATCACACCGGAAAGTGAGTGGTACTCTTTTTAAAGTTTGGCTTTACTTATTATCACTCTGTGTGCTGTGTCCATCGTCCCAGCCCCCGCCCCTTCTGAGTTGTGCGTGGAGGCGTGCTACCGTGGCTCCTGTGCTGAGGTCAAAAGACAACTCTTAGGAGCTGAGAGCTGAGTCTCTTGAGAAGCAAGACGGGGGTAGGTGGGGGTGGGCGTGCTGGGGGATTGCTGCAAGTTTAAGGCCAGCCTGGTCTACAGAGTGAGTTCCTGCAGCCAGGGCTACATAGTAAGACCTTGTCTCAAAAAATAAATATAAATATAATCCCAGCACTCGGGAGGCAGAGCCAGGCGGATCTCTGTGAGTTCGAGGCCAGCCTGGTCTACGAAGTGAGTTCCAGGAAAGGCGCAAAACTACAGAGAAACCCTGTCTCGAAAAACCAAAAATAAATAAATAAATAAATAAATAAATATAAATATAAATATAAATAAATAATCACGGAGGTTGGGGGTACAAGCTCAAGGTTTATATGAAGGGCCCCGATTCCACCTCAACACTAAAAAGAAAAGAGAACAGCCAAAGTGAATGTGTGGCTGTGAAGTCAGAAGGGGGCCCCAGACTGGGGAATACAGACGGAAGAGAGTCATGACAATCTGTTGCGGTGTTGAAACAGTCTCTGTCTTGATCTGCTATAGTTACATAGGGTGTGCTCACAAAAAGTCACAGCGTTCTATGCTAACGATGTATGCCTTCAGTGATAAGATGTTACTAACTAAAATGCTGGGGGAGAGGCTGGCTAGACGGCTCAGTGGTTAAGAACACTCTTGCAGAGGACCCAAGTACAGTTCCCAGCACCCACATGGTGGCTCACAGCCACCCGTAACTCCAGTTCAAGGAAATCTGATGCTCTCTTCTGACCTCTGAGGGCACCAGGCACACAGGGGGTGCATGCATACAGATAAAATGAAATAAAGAAAATAAAGAAGTAATAATAATAATAAAAAACCCAAACCCTGTGAGGTAGGCCCTGCTCTCCGCTGCTGCCCCTGCTCCTGCGATAAGGGCCTTACAGCCTAGAGGGGTTCACTGAGCCATCTGCCTGCTGCCATCCTCCCTCAGAGCAGCCTGGCCCAGTGGGGTGCATCGGCGGCCATGCAGGTGGTGTCCCGACGGCAGAGTGAGGTGCGGGTGCCCTGGCTGCACAACTTAGCCGCCTCCCAGGATGAAAGCCACGACGACCAGACGGACACGGAGGGGGAGGAGAAGGACGACGAGGAGGAAGAAGAGGGATCAGAGGCCGAAGAGAGCGTGCTCAGAGAGGTGAGGAAGAGAGCCTAAGGCCTCGCAGCCGGCAGGTGGGGGTGAGAAGCAGAGGAGCAGGGTAGACTAAAGAACGCTGTCCCAGCCGGGCAGGGTTGGCGCACGCCTTTAATCCCAGCACTCGGGAGGCAGAGCCAGGCGGATCTCTGTGAGTTCGAGGCCAGCCTGGTCTACAGAGCCTAATAGTCCCAGGACAGGCTCCAAAGCTACACAGAGAAACCCTGTCTTGAAAAAAAAAAAAAGAATACTGTCCCCAGGTCACCCCCAAATTCACAGCCAACTAAGTATCGCCGTGTCACTCAGCGGGCTCCACGACACCCATAAAAGGAGGCAGGGTGGGGATTGCTGCTCCATTTTGCAGATGAAGAAACTGAGGTTCAGAGAGAAGCCCACACTACCCACAGCTAGGGACAAACCCAGGCCTAGTTAGTTTTTGTTTATTTATTTATTGTTGTTTATTTTTGTTTCTCTCTCCCCACCCCTCCCTCCTTCCCCCTCCCCCCCTCCTTCTCTCTCTATTTTGTGTCCTGTTTCCCCTCTATCTCTGGGCTGGTGGTTAGGGAAAGGGTCAGAGGAGCGGATGCAGGGCAGGGGCTAACGGTTCTCTGGCCCACAGGTAACAGCCCTGCCCACCCCGAGAGGCCTCCTGGGTGGCGTGGTGCACACCATGCAGAAGACTCTCCGGAGCACCATCTCAGCGGTGACGTGGGCACCTGCAGCTGTGCTGGGCACGGTGGGAAGGATCCTGCACCTCACCCCAGCCCAGGCTGTCTCCTCCACCAAAGGGAGGGCCATGTCCCTCTCCGACGCCCTGAAGGGTGTCACTGATAACGTGGTAGACACTGTGGTACACTATGTGCCGGTGAGTCCCACCCCAGGGCCACCTTCTCCCAGGGTAGATTTGACTGAAGGAGATGTAGGACCCCCGTCCCCTTGTTTTCCAGCCCATGGAGACCCTTCTCCAGTCTTCAGTACTCAAAACCTTCCTACACCCTGATCTTTCTCCGCCCAGAGTACAGATGTTCCCAGCCCTGGCCTCAGACCTCTCCCCTACATTGTGCCTCCCATTTGATGATGGAGTCATTGGTTCATGAGTCCCTAGTGGCTCAGCCCTCCCGCTTCAGCTCCTAGAGGAGGGGCCTGGCAATAAACTTTCAGGGCACCTTGAGCTAAGACTGTGCCTTCTAGGGACATTATGGCTAAAAAAAGCCAAGACTAATGTCATCTTTTTGGGAATCCCTGAGACCCTCTCCAAAGGAAGTTACAAGTTGAGCAGGCTGGAGGAGAACTTGGTGGAACAGGAGGTGCCCCTAGAGTTGGCCAGGGGAAAGGTTACTCAATCATTGAAACTGGGAGGAGTGGCATGCTTCAAGGAGGGGGACTCCTCCCACCACCAGAGGCGACCAGAGTCCTTAGAACCTCAGGGCTCTCCCGGATGACCCCATCCTGAAAGCCTACACCCCAGTCCGTGCCCTTGTGATGTCCGCCCCCGAGGGAACTAGGCTAAACGCCATAGAAAGGGTGGTGACTCCTGGCAAAGGGATTCCCTAACTAGAGTGTCCGGCTGTCAGCTTCCCAGGCTGTCCCTGATGGAGCCGGAGAGCGAATTCAGAGACATCGATAACCCGCCGGCAGAGGCCGAGCGCAAGGGGTCCGGAGCGCGGCCCGCCAGTCCGGAGTCCGCGCAGCGTCCCGGCCAGCCCCGCGGCAGCTTGCGCAGCGCGCGGGGGCTCAGCATGCCCTCCTGTCCCAGTCTGGAAGACAAGGCGGAGACTTCGGGGCGTCCCGGATTCCTGGCCATGCCCCGGGAGAAGCCTGCACGCCGAGTCAGCGACAGCTTCTTCCGGCCCAGCGTCATGGAGCCCATCCTGGGTCGCGCACAGTACAACCAGCTGCGCAAAAAGAGCTGAGCGGTCCGTGTCCCTGCTCGCCCCAGCGCCACCCCGCAGGAGGGTCGCTTCTCCCCAAGGAAACAGAAATCATACTTCTAAGTGGGTCTCTCCTTCAGGGTGGCCCCTTGGGAACCTGAGCCACATCCCCACGATGCTGTCGAGGCACACATCACTTCTAAAGCATCCTTTGGGGGCTTGCCCATCACAGGCAGTTTTTAAGGGGCACCAGAGCAGTGGTCGATTCTCATTTCATGGCTTTCTTTTCTTTCTTTCTTTTTTAACTAAAAAAGCAATTGCTTAATTTGATTTCTCACTTCTATAGAAAAACTTGTGGCCAAATGACACCTGACCGGTTTTAAAATTCGTATCCCTTCTCTGTGAACATGTATTTATTGCTAAAAAGTAGTGGATCAGTTTCTTTTCTTCTTCTCTCCCCCTTCCCTCTCCTTTTTCCCTCTCCCCTCCTCCTTCCCCCTTCTCCTTCTCCTCCTTCTCCTCCTTCTCCTTACTTCTCCCTTCTCCCAAGTAGCCCAGGCTGGGTTCATCTCCAGTTCTAGGAGATGCACGCTCCGGCCAGCTCCCTCTGAATGTCAGGAATTCTCAGTGCATTTTTAGCGCTGAGCTCTGAGACCCTCTGATTACCTGGCTCTCAGCATAGTGCTTTAAGAAGAACAAGGAGGTGCCAAAGCCTTTGTGCGTTTATTTAGAAAACAGTTCCAGTTTTTGAGTCTCTCTCCCCCGCACAGGTGGAGCCTCAGGTCTGTCCTGTACAGCACCAACTTTTCTTCACAGCCACGCTTCTATGCCATCACTCTTGCCTTCTGCCTGTATGGTCACTCTCGAATGTTGATACCCTAGATGCTGGGAGCCAGCAACGGTCACCTTAAGCCTGATAGTGTGAATTATGTAGAACACATATTCATAGCCACTGTTCATTCCAAATCCCATTTTTGGAAATGTCAATACTTGGTCAATCTAGGACAATAAATACAATAAATACACTTGTAACATTCAGACATTGCAAGGTGTGTGTTTTCCTTTCTGGATTTCTCAGTTCTCTTTCATAAAAACAGCCACAGTTCAGTTTCTTATGGATCCTTCCAGTTATAGGCTCTGTTTGGGCAAGCACATGTGTATAAACACCTATCTTTGTTCACCCAAACCGTGGGCAGTGCCCTCCAGGTTTTTCCCACTGTGGTCAATACATCATTTTAAATGCTTATTATGCTTTAAAAAAAAAGATTTGTTTTTTTTTTTTTTTACTTTTCACGTATGAATGTTTTTCTCACATATATGTGTCTGCACACCATGTGTGTGCCTGGTGCTCTTGGAGGTTAGATGAGGGCATTGGATCCCCAGAACTGTAGATATAGGTGGTGAGCTGCCATGTAGGTGCTGGGAATAAAACCCAGGTCCTCTGAAAGAGCAACAAGCGCTCTTAACCACGGAGCCATCTCTCCAGCTCCTCAACTACACATCTTATCCATCTTTTTGTGCCAGGTAATCATAATATGAAAGTAATATGGATAAATTGGTGTAGCTAGCTTCCTAATGATGAACTTTTAGGCTGTTTCCTTTCTCTGCCCTACACTCAGTGGTAGAACATATGCTTAACATGTACAGAGTCCCAGGTTTGATTCCCAGTAACATACACACACACACACACACACACACACACACACACACACACACACAATCCCATGCATATATGTGGCTATATCTATGGACAAATTATAATTTGTACCCATGACATTCTTGATGAAATAATATGTGATTTGAAATACTGGTATTTCCTCTAGCTTTCCAAAGGAAACTCTATTTTATTCAGTTATTGTCATCTGTTGCTATATAAATTTACACAAATCATTAGGACACATCTGTCATTCCTTCTAGACATCCACATACACAACATATCCCATCGGAATCCCTCAGACCCATGAGTGCCTCCTTGGCCCCTGCTGTGTGGTATGTTGCACCCTGGTCTTTGGCAGACCTTTATTGTAATGAGTTCTATACCTTAACCCATGGTTTTGGAGTTTGAGGATGCCAAAAATAGGGATGGAGAGTGGACAGGGCATGCAATGCCAACGTGACTAGTACACTTCCCCCGAGCACACTCGGGAACGCCTTGGACTGTCGTGGGTATGAATCCGGCAAGAGGGGTCCTCAGCCACTGGTGTGCAGGGCTCTGAAGACAGAACCCGGCTTATCTCTGGCAGAGCTACTCGGGCCGCTCCTGGAAAGTGACACCAGGCCTGGATGTGCGGAGAAACGCCAGCTCATCCTGGCCTCCCTATCTGTGCTGGACCTCCCCACCCACCCCAAGATTCCAGCCACAGCACTGCAACGAAGCGAAACAAGTCACAAAACGTCCTACTGCATTTCTTAAACGTTTGTGTTTCCCCTTCACGAAGTGGCTGTCAAAACTTTTAAGTATTTTTCTCTCGGTAACTTATTTTCCTCATCGAGGCTTGGGAGTTGCGCACATTTTCCCAGACAGTGATCACTCATCTATCTTCCTTTCCACTTATGACTATTTTTTTTGTCTTCATGATTGTTTTTAAATGATCAGTTCTTTTTTTAAAAAAGGTTTTATTTTGGCCTGGCGATGGTGGCACATGCCTTTAATCCCAGCACTTGGGAGGCAGAGGGAGGTGGATCTCCAAGTTTGAGGCCAGCCTGATCTACAGAGTGAGTTCCAGGACAGCCAGGATTACACAGAGAAACCTTGTCTCAAAAGAAAAAACTACTACTACTACTACTACTAAATAAGTAAAAAAGGTTTTATTTTGAATTTTGTGTATAAGTACGTGTCTGTATGTGGGTTTGTACACATGAGTGCAGTGCCCCAGGAAGCCAGAAGATGGTATCTGATCCCATGGACCTGGAGTTATAATTGGTGAACTACATGATATGGGTACTAGAAACCAAACCAGCGTCCTCTGCAAGGGCAATATGTGCTCTTAAGCACTGATTGATTGATTTAAATTTCATTTATTTAAATTTAGTCAAATTATCATTCTTTTATTTTATAGTTTGTAATTCTTAGTTACAACTTTACATATATTCCTTACCACGAAGTCATTGTGATATGGTAACAGGGCCCCAGAACTTAGTAGGCCCTAGACCTTAGTACAACTGATACCATGATGGACGTGCCACGCAGGCCTTGGAACCCAGCGTGTAGGCAGCAACACCTGCCAGAACAAGATCAAAGACCTAACCCCTCAAATCCTGTAGCTCTGGGAAAGTCCCTGAATGTGCTAACCTTGCATTTTGATGCTTGTAGCTCAACTTCGGGCTAACTGCTATTGCTAATTAAGGTGTGCCAACCCAGGATGCAGTTTTTTTTCAGTGTGTGTGTGTGTGTGTGTGTGTGTGTGTGTGTGTGTGTGTGTGCATGCTTAAAAGCCCACTCTGAGAACAGTTCAAGACTGCACTCAGGTCCCGAAAACATCCAGTATTGTCCCCGGCTGGCTAATGAATACTTTCTGTTGGCTTGCACCTGTGTCTGAGTGGTCTTCTCTGGTGGATGTCTCACAAGACTATCTCTTGTATCTCTCCAAATATTTTCATAATGTTGTTTTATACATTGATTACTTTGTAATGTGATTTAAGTGGGGATTCAGCTTTCCCGTCCACGTGGAGGACTGACGGGAGGCCTGTGTGTTTCCCAGTCACTTCACCCTGAAATTTCTTTGTAACTGAATACTACAGGAGAATTGAGACTTTGACGGAGGTCAGCTGGGAATTTCTGATCTATTGTTGCCTGGCACGTAGTTGGAGTCAACAGACCGAGTTCTGTCTGATGCCTCATGCAGCCTGACTTGCTGCCACTGACCAGCATCCTGTTATCCAAGCCTAGCTTCTAGTACAGTCTGTCTATTTCTGTGGGATTAGCTGAATCGCAGTGGTTCCAGTTTTTATATCTGTTCCTTGATAGGAGGGTCTTGCTACTCCCTGCACTCTGCATTTCCATATAAGTAATAAAAACCAGCTGGCCAGATTCTGATGGTCTTTTGGGCCTATCACAACTTTCAAAGCATCTGGATTTTTTTTTCTTTTTTTGATTTTTCGAGACAGGGTTTCTCTGTGTAATACACAAAATGTATTTCAGCTCTTGACTGAGTATGTGGGACCATCTATTTTGTACTGGAGACAGTGCCAAAGGCCACAGATTGACCACGGGGACGGGCACACTGGATTGTTCCACGTGGGTTTTAGTGGTAGACATGAAATCATTACCTGCTCACTGGTAAGGGTTAGGAAAAGGTTACTTCTTTGTAAATCATAGATTCAGATTGACAGTTCCAGTGATGTCTATCACCACAGAATTCTACAATTTACTGTAACATTAACGGCTTTAGTGTTACCTTCTCTATAGCTTAATTACTATAATTGCTATTATAACTATAATCATAACTCCTCGGAAAAATGTGATGTTTCATCAATCACTATCACCTTCTGCAATGTTTATGCAGGTTTAGCATCTGGCTTCTTCACATTCAGAGTCTAAATGAATCTCTTTGGCTGTCTCTGTGGCAGGCTGCTATGCATTTGGGGTTATTTCTGCTCAGTTCTCCAACTGCATTAGGATATTTGTGACTGACAGCGCAACTCTAAAGCATTGAGAGAACACTCTACATTGCGTCTGCATTTCCCAACTGCTTTATCTCCTTCACCGAGACACCACCTGGTCTTATTGTCCTCGTCATTTCAGGCTGTGTTTCCACTGTTTTGAGGCTGAGGGTTTTCTCATGTAGATCTGGGAGGGCTGGCTGGCAATTTCTGAAGCCTTTAATTATGCTGCCCGTCTATAACAGGCAATCTTCTGTGTACATACTGCATTAAAAATTGCTGCTATATTAGAGCTTTTTTTTTTGGTTTTTTGAGACAGGGTTTCTCTGTGTAGCTTTGCGCCTTTCCTGGGACTCACTTGGTAGCCCAGGCTGGCCTCGAACTCACAGAGATCCACCTGGCTCTGCCTCCCAAGTGCTGGGATTAAAGGCATGCGCCAC